CAGCAGCAGCAGCAGCTGCTGCTGCTGCTGCTGCTACTGCAGTGCCTCGACTGGGGTCTTGCTTACCCCTGCGTTTGGCAGCGCCGGGCCGTACACACTTTGCAGTTCGTCCTGCTGCTGCTCCGCCTGCTGCTGCTGCTGCTGCTGGGCTGAGGGCCCCTGCAGGTGCTGCTGCAGCTGGGGCCCCATGAGGCCCTCCCCGTTGTAGGGTACTGGGCTGGGGGCCCCCCCCAGGCCCAGGCCCCGGGGGGCCCCCCTTGGGGGAGACCCAAGCCGAGGGTACTTCTCATCAGCTAGGCGTCTTTCTTCAGCCCCAGCTGCCAGCAGGGGGGCCCCCCCCTCCTCGGGGGCCCCCCCGGGGGGCCCCTCGGGGGGCCCCCCGGGGGACCCCAAGGGGGCCCCCCCCGGGCCCCAGAAAAGGTCTTCCCCGTAGGTGCTGTCGTCCAGGGCCTCCTCAGAACCTTCCCCGGGGGGGCCCCCCTCGGGGGGCCCCTCCTCTGGAGGTTGCTGCTGCTGCAGCAGCGCCTGCAGCGGCCCCAGGGGGGCCCCCTGGAGGGGGGCCCCCAGGGGCCCCAGGGGCCCCAGGGGCCCCAGGGCCCCCAGGGGCCCCAAGTGCTGCAGCCCCGCGCCCCAGAAGGTGAAGTCGGGGGGCAGCAAAGAAAAGGGGCCCCCGGGGCCCCCGGGGGCCCCCAAGTACCCTTGACCTGCTGCTGCTGCTTTGATGCGGTCCGCCAAAGACATATCCAACAAGTCCTCAATCTGAGACAAAAGACTGGGCCCCAAGTCCTCATGGGGGCCCCCAGGGGCCCCCAGGTCCTCGGGGGCCCCCGGGGGCCCCGGGGGCCCCGGGGGCCCCAGGGGCCCCGGGTCCGGGGGGGCCCCCCGGTGGGAAGGGGGGCCCCCAAAGGATAGCTGGAGGGCCCCCAGCCACAGCTGCGGCAGCGCCAGCCACAGCAGAAGACAAAACCCCAGCAGCGCAGCAGTTAAGACAAGATGGGCAGCAGCAGGGCTGGGGGCCCCCATGGCTTAGGGGCCCCAGGCATGCCCTGGGGCCTCGGGGAGAGTAGGGGGCGCTGCTGGGGGTGTAGGTACACCTGGGGGTGCGGGGGCGCAGAAGCAGCAGCAGCAGCAGCAGCAGCAGCAGCAGCAGCGCGGCAGCAGCACCGGGGCGCGCCGCGGCGTTCCCCTCACGCCGCGGCCACTGCAGCAGAGACACTGGGCGTGCGCAGCAGCAGCAGCAGCGAGGGCTGGGGCGACGGGTTCGCGGAGGTTTGCTGCGGGCTGCTGCTGCTGCTGCTGCTGCCGCTGCGGCGCTGCTGCGGGCGGTGCTGCTGCCGCTGCTGCTCCCGGGGCTGTTCAGGGGCCACTGGCGGGCGAGCGAAGCCCTACAGCCTCTCCAGCAGACATTAAGGATATTACTAATTGCAAAGAATAATAAAAAGCTGCAGCAGAAGTCGCTGGAGGCGCAGCTTGCTGCAGAGTCTGGGGAGCCAGCAGAAGGGCCGCTAGCCTGCGCTCCCCGGGGCAGCAGCTGTTGCTGCTGCAGAGATCTCCGCTGCAGTTCAAAGCGCTAATTATATTATTTTGTCTTTTTTCGCGTTTATATTCCCAATTATATTTTTAATTGCGGCAAACCGGCGAAAAGAAAGAGCGCCAGAGCTTAAAGCCCGAGCGAAAGAGCCTGGGCGCCGCGTCGAACGGGAGTCGCTGTTGGGGCTGTTTCTCCCGCCAATTTGCACAGAAGTCATTGTTCTTTCCGCTGCTTTTTCAAGTTTTTATTTTTAAAACTATTTAATTTGAAGCTTTATCTCTTTAGAGCCCGCGGAGAGCCGCGGGAGACCAATTGGCGGCGCCCTGAGAGCGCCGTCGATCAGCTTCGATTCACAGTGTACGTACACCTCCTGCGCCACTGCTGCTTCTGCTTTTCCCACTATTGCATTTCCACTTTTTCTTTTCTGGACTTTTCAAAAGAATCTTTTTAGTTTTAAAGGCCGCATAACGGGCAAGTTGTCTGCTGCAGCAGCGCAGCGCCGCCTGGGCGAACTGCACCAGCAGTTGCTGCGGGTGGCGCGGCTGCACGGAGCCATTGACAGCATGAACTCTATTTAGTTCTTTCCTTTTATTTAAATTGCTTTTTATTTTAATTTGTTCTTTTATTGCCACTAATTGCTGCTCCGTCTAGGGAGAACAGCCCCAGAACCCGCAGAGCCCAGCGCCGCCGCGCAGCAGCACTGCAGCAAACCCTTTTTAGCTCTAACTGCAGCACAAGAAGAAAGCCCTTAGTTCACTCACTTTGTCTCCGCTGCTGGGGAGCAGCAACTCAGCTTCTTCTCTGTAGCTGCTGCAGCACCAGCAGTCGGGAGCGGCACATTGGCCCCCTCTCTGTAGCTGCTGCTGCAGCAGCAGCTGGGGAGCAGCACTTCAGCTCCCCCTCCCAAGCCGCTGCAGCAGCACGCAGGCGGCAGCAGGCGCAACGCAGTGTACAGACAGCCAAGAGCAGCAGCAGCAGAGCAGCAGAGGTGTCTAGACACCGCTGCTGCTGCTCCTGTGTGGGGTGCTGCGGGCCTTCGGGTGTACAGACAGCTCAGAAGGCAGCAAAGTGGCTCCAAGCCGTTGGGGTGTCTCGGCAGTTTCTCAACTGTCTCGGCAGCTCGAGCGCTGCAGCTTTGTCCACAAAAAAAAGCGCCAACCCTAAGAGCGAAGCAGCTGCAGCAGCTCAGCAGCAGCAGCAGCTGCAGCAGCAGCAGCTGCTGCAGCAGCAGCAGCTGCGCTCCCGTCGCAGCCAGCGGGGGCAGCTCGTCTCCCCGCAAGCTGCTGCTTGGTGACAAATAAGGGCCCCAGGGGCCCCCGGGGGGCCCCCAAGCCCCCTCAAGTAAGCGGAAATAAATTTAATAGTGCAACAAGAACTGCAAACTTACAACTAAATGAACTAAAGCACTTTCAAGAACATCCGGGGGCCCACAGGGGGCCCCTGCAGCGAAGCGCCTCGCTGCAGGGGGGCCCCTGTCAGGCCCTGGGGGCCCCTCGTATCTGGGGACCCTGGGGGCCCTCCTGTATGGGGGCCCCTGATATCCCCTGGGTACCCCTTAGGGGCCCCCTGGGGGCCCCTTGGGGGGCCCCCTCTGGGACCCTCTGGGCCCCTTTGGGATGGGGGCCACTTGGGGCCCCTCGAATCTGGGGGCCCCTTGGGACCCTTAGGGCCCCTTAGGGGCCCTTGGGGCCCCTCATCTCTGGGGGCCCCTGGGGGGCCCCCCGGGGCCCCCAAGGGGGGCCCCCGGGGGCCCCTCGTGTGCACTCATTTGAGGCAATTTGGGGGCCCCGTGGGGCGCCAGTTGGCCTCAAAGTTCTGCCGTGAGGCTCGAGGGTTGTCCCTCTGAAGTTTGCCAAAAGTTTAATTCTTTTTGTTCCCTGAAGCAGCAGCAAAGAGCAGCAGCAGCA